ACAAAAAAAATAGACAGTGGCCTCCGCCGGCGCGGATTCCGGCACCAGGTCGTCATTCTCCTGTGACAAGTTGGTGGCTAAAGCGAAAGCGAAGACTCCAACACAAAAAGGCAGTGGCCTTCTCCGTCGCGGACTCCGGCACCGGGTTGTCATTCTCCTGTGACAAGCTGGTGGCTAAAGCGAAGACTCCAATACAAAAAGACAGTGGCCTCCACCGCCGTGTTGTCGTTTTCCTGTGATAAGTTGGTGGCTACTAAAAGGCCAAAAGCGAAGACTCCAACACAAGAACGGGCCACATGGCTAAGGCAATCTCGTCCTCCACATCGAACGACGGAGGAACCGGCACTCCGTGCCGTATCAGCGCCTGTCGCAGCTGTGTCACTGGCGGCGCCCGTGGAGGCGGGGCCCGTGGAGGCGGCGCCAAGAGGAAGGGTGGGTACATCGCAGGGTGCATTCCCCATGTCGCATAAAGGGGCATTGGCACTGGCAGTGGCGGGCCGAATGGCGGGCCGAGTGGCGGGCCGAGTGGCGGGCCGACTGGTGGGCCGCGGCCGAGTGGCGGGCCGAGTGGCGAGGCTGGTGGTGGCTCCAGCTGCAGCGGAACGGTAGGCAATGGCTTGGTTGTTGGCAGCATCGGCGTGGGCGTGGTGGTTGTTTTTGCCGGTGCCGGTGGCTTGCTGTCCCTCGTGGGCGTGGCGAGTGCTTTTGGCGTTGGCGGCTGTGCCGGTTCTGTTGCTTTCTCTGGCTCCTCTGCCACGTCGGACGGCGTGCTCTGCTGCATATCGGGGGTAGGCGTGCTCTTCGGCATATTGGGGGGCGGCGTGCTCTTCGGCATATCGGGGAGCGGTGTGCTCTTCGGCATATTGGGGGGCGGTGTGCTCTTGGGCGGATTGGGCCTGGGGCTCCTGGACGGTTTCGGTCTCTCACAGACGTCGTGGCGGACCGACGGTCGAGCGGCGTTGGCTTTGGCGACGTCGGGGTGTGGGTGGTTGGGGGGTGGGAGGGGGGGTAGGAGAGGCGGCTTCGGAATGTCGACCCCGATTTTCGGCATGGGTGGCGGTGGTAGTAGCTTCGGGCGCGGTGCCCCATCATTGTCATCATCCGCCATGTTTTGCTAGCCCCTAAGTCCACCTCTACAGCCCCTCCATACCCGGGTTGCTTCCGATTCAGTCCGATTCAGTTTACACAAGTGGTTGCATCGCAATTTCAGACTACATATGTTGTTGATGCGAGACCAGCGCAGGTCAGCCTCACTACTGTGTACTTGGGCCGGCCGCGACAGTGCAGGATATCATGCATTCAACTCTTCACGCATCAAACTTGATCAGACCGCCATGCCGACAATGCCAAAAGCGGAGGCCCCGACGGTCTTCAGGCAGCTGGGTGTGATCCGGAGCTCCACGACCTGAGGCAGCAACCCAAACTAAACCGACTAAACCCGAACTCCTCTGGTGCTTGCGGGCCCGCTCGGCACACACCACTCACTCTGCTGTCTCAGCCTCGGGCACAGCAGGACTGCAGGATAGCTGCCCTCACCATCAAAGCACAACCAAAGCTATGTGACGCAGCAACGCCAAGACAAAGCACAACACTCTGCGCCGCACACGGGAGGCCATGCGGCAGTCATGAGTCAACACCAAAGCACAACCAAAGCCGCTGCACAACCGAGGCCGATGCACACCACGGTTCGTGAGTCTGTAATTTAGATATCTGACTGTGTGATGCACAACCAAGACAAACACAACACTCAACACTGAGTCAACACCACAGCACAACCGAAGCCGCTGCACAACCGTAGTAGTAGTAGTAGTAGGAGTAGTAGTAGTAGCAGTAGTAGTAGTAGTAGTAGTAGTAGTAGTAGTAGTAGTAGTAGTAGTGGTAGTAGTAGCAGTAGCAGTAGCAGTCAGTAGCAGTAGCAGTAGTAGTAGCAGTCGCAGTAGCAGCAGCAGCAGCAGCAGTAGTAGTACTAGTAGTATTAGTAGCAGCAGTAGTAATAATAGTAGTAGTAGTAGTAGCAGTAGGAGTAGTCGTAGTCGTTGTCGTCTAGTTGTAGCAGTAGTAGTAGTAGTAGTAGTAGTAGTAGTAGTAGTAGTAGTAGTAGTAGTAGTAGTAGTAGTAATAGTAGTAATAGTAGTAATAGTAGTACCAGTAGCAGTAGTTGTAGCCGTATTAGTAGGAGTAGTAGTAGCAATAGTAATAGTAGTAGTAGTAGTAGTAGTAGTAGTAGTAGTAGTAGTAGTAGTAGTAGTAGTAGTAGTAGTAGTAGTAGTAGTAGTACTAGTAGTAGTAATAGTAGTAATAATAGTAGAAGTAGTAGTAGTAGTAGTAGTAGTAGTAGTAGTAGTAGTAGTAGTAGTAGTAGTAGTAGTAGTAGTAGTTAAGTAGTAGCATCAGTAGTAGCAGTGGTAGCAGTAGTAGTAGTAGTAGTAGTAGTAGTAGTAGTAGTAGTAGTAGTAGTAGTAGTAGTAGTAGTAGTAGTAGTAGTAGTAGTAGTAGTCGTGGTCGGCGTAGTCGTAGTAGTAGTTGTAGTAGTAGCAGGGGTAGTCTATAACACCCAGTCGGGGAGGGCGCTAATTATCGCATTTTCGGCTCAATCGAGCACAAAGACATCAGTGACAACAGTCCTGTCCTACCTATGTGCTCGCACACTGACGCAGACATGCCACGTCGCCTCAAACACAATCACACGGTCTCGGCGCCACACTGCGGCACAGCGCAACTTGCCTGGGTCAGGTCACCGTTGAGTACACTGCACAACGGGAACACGAAGGCGTGCAACGCTGCAACGCAGTGCAGTGCAAAGTGCAAAGTGCAACGCGCAATGCCACACAGAAGCAATGCACAAGCCGAGAGTTTTCCACCAATGCGTGCCAATGCCCAAGTCAGGTCTCACAAGGCGGCATCTTTCTGTCCTGCAGGAAATGCAGAGCTACAGCGGTGCCAGAAAGAATGAGAATGACGTGGCCACCTGTGATCGCCGCCGACGCCGTTTCGATCGCGATCTTGATCTGGACTCCTGTTGAATGACACATTGACACATCAATGATCAAACCAACTACTACACTTCACCCCGCCAACTTAGCGCCGCCGACCACTGCCACTAACCCCGGGCACTAATGCTGCTGAGCGATGGCCTTCTTGTGGCTCTGGTCCCTGGAGCTAGATCCGCGGTCCTGTGCTGACATGTGATGCAGGCTGCTGCTGCTGAGGGTTGAAGCAAAGTGCGAGGACTCTTCGCAACACAAAATTCAAAAAGGCATCGGCATTCGCATGCGCCTGCACGGATTCCGGCGCCTGGGTCTCCTGTGACAAGATGGTGGCTAGTGGCTAGAACGAAGGCTCCAGCGTCGGCTCCAGCACACACACAGACATCGGCCTTCGCGTGTGCGGATTCCGGCCCACTCGCAGGTGACTCCTGCGGCAGGTTGGCGGCTAAAAGCTAAGACTCCAACACAGGAACGGATCATAAGGCTAACTCCTCGTCGTCATCCACGTCAATGATGTCGGTTTGCGGCGGTATCGGCACTCCATGCATAAGGAGCGCCTGACGAAGAGGCGTTAGAGCCCGTAGTGGTCGAAGAGGAAGTGTCGGCGGAGGAAGGAGCAGTGGATTCAGAGGATGGTATGGCGGGAACAGCAGCGGGTTCAGTGGGCCCCAGGGCAGAAAGGGCCCAGGCGGTCCTGGCCCTGGCATCATGGGGCCCGGCACGGGTCCTGGCATGGGTACCGGCACGGGTCCTGGCCCGAGTCCCGAGACAGGTGTGAAGGGCACCGTTGGGGCGGGCCGTGGCTCTGACTCTGTGGGTGGCCTGGGCGTCGGGGGGGGCGTCGACGATTTCGGCGGCGTCTTTGGGGCCTGCGCCTGCGGTCTCTGTGGGGGGCCTGAGCGTGGGGGGGGCGTCGACGATTTCGGCGGCGTCTTTGGCCCTTGCGGTGGCGGCTGGGCCGGCCCGCCATTTGGCGACTTCGGTGTCTTTGGAACAAGCGGCGGATCAAGCGGCGGCGGATCGGTGTTGGGGTTGGCGGCCCGCCCGCTTTTTGGCGACTTCGGTGTGTTTGGAACAGGCGGTGGCAGATCGGCCTTGGGGTTGGGGCCGGGGATGGGGCTTCGAGATGGTTTGAGTTTGGGTCGGGATTTTGATGTGAGGGGGAGTCGGCGGTTTGTCGTGACACTGGGTGTGGGGCGAGGGACGGTGGCATTGGTAGTGGTGTCGGGGTGTGGGTAGGAAGGGGGTGGGAGTGGGGCTAGTGGGGGAGGAGGGACGGGGGCCTTGGGTGGCACGGGAATGTCGAATCCTAGCTTTGGGGCTGGAGGCGGCGGGAGAACCGCCACCTTCGGGCGCCCTTGATCGCCATGACCATCAGCCATGTCTCACTCGAATTTCGGCTGTCGCTCTGATTAATTTGATCAACATGTGTCAATCTGTCAAAAGCTCCTGCTGGTCTGCTAGGGCCTTACTCCAGGACTCCATGTGGAATGCATAATGCAACTGTTGCAGCCAAAGGAGGCACGACATGTCAGACCGCAATGCAAGCCAACTTGAACTCTACATGCATCAGACTTATCAGACCACAACCGGAGGCCCCGACGGAAGACGGCGACGGTCGGTCAGCTGGGTGACCCAGCGCTCCACGACCTGAGGCAGCAACCTAAACCTAAACTAAACCCTGGGCATTAAATGGTAGTACATTTGGGCTCACGATAGCAAAGCATCTCCAATCAAGTGATGGGGTTGAGGCGACAGCGTGGAATCTGACACTCGGCTCACCCACTCTTTGCGTCGCAGAAAAACAGCTGTCTCCCGTACTGCAACTGTTGTGACAACAGGGGTCTTTCTGCCTCCTGTTGCCCTTCACCGCACATGCCTGCATCCTGCAACTGCCTCAATCTTTTGCTTGACAGTAAGACTGGAAAGTTTGAAACTTGAAAGCCACGGCACTGCAACAAGCTGCAGCTGTAGGTACTAGGCATGCGGAAACTACTCAAAAAGGAGCGCGAGCTAGGCCTTCGGCGCTCGCAGGAGGTCCTGTAATGTGCCTTTCCAGATCGCATCTTGGATCTTGAGCACGCCGCGTGCGGCATCCAAGAGTCGGAAAACACCATCACCAGCATCGGCGCCGTCGGCGAGGCCCTCCAAGAAGCTTCCTGCCCTTCGCGCGGCGATCATGCCGTCTTTCACTTGTTGGACATCCATTGCAGCGACGGAGGGCAACCCAGAAAAAACAACTCCAGACCAGCTGGCTGCCCAGTCCAGCCCGAGCATCTTTTCAAATTCGCCAGACTCTGGGTGCACGCTCAAAATCATCTGCTGGACAGCTTGAACCAGCACTGACGCCGCCTATGCAGTATTCCATGGATGGATGGGCCGGGCCGGGTATAGTTGGGGGTCTCAAGTAGAGTCTCAACGAAAAACACAAAATGACAAATCAGCACTGTCAATGGAAGATGAAACCCAAATCTTTTCGACCCATGCGCCTGGCAGATCTTGATATCCTCGGCAGAAGTCGCCAGCTCAACTGCGGTCGACAACGCTCGGCGGAGCAACTCCAGAAAGCCGTCATCTTCAGCCTCTTCACGTAGTACGTGAAAGTCGGCGCCGAAAACTGAGAAAAGGGCGCACATGAACGTCATGAGGTGCGACTCCTCCAGGCGTCCACTCTCGAGGATGTCTTTGAGCATGGCAACAGCAAACGACCAGGTCGGACTGTCCGACCAGGACCCACGGAGCAGCACAACAAAGCTTGGACCAGCTTGAACCGATTGCGGCCAGTCGCGGCTGGATGGTTGTGATTTGCGCTTTGGATTTTGGATAATCATGGATTGCTCACACTGAGACACAAGGCTTCGACACGATATTCCAACGACTGCAAATGCTTGACTGACAACACTTGCAAGTACAACAGTACAACGATCGTTTTGCACGATGCAATTCTGGAAATTTCGTTTAACCTGGACCTACACTGAATCCAAAACCCGTGCCCTGGCAATTCAATAGTAGTAGTAATAGTAGTCGTAGTAGTAGTAGTAGTAGTACAGTAGTAGTAGTAGTAGTAGTAGTAGTAGTAGTAGTAGTAGTAGTAGTAGTAGTAGTAGTAGTAGTAGTAGTAGTAGCGGGCCCGCTCGGCACACACCACTCACTCTGCTGTCTCAGCCTCGGGCACAGCAGGACTGCAGGATAGCTGCCCTCGCCATCAAAGCACAACCAAAGCTATGTGACGCAGCAACGCCAAGACAAAGCACAACACTCTGCGCGTCGCACACGGGAGGCCATGCGGCAGTCATGAGTCAACACCAAAGCACAACCAAAGCCGCTGCACAACCGATGCCGATGCACACCACAGTTCGTGAGTCTGTAATTTAGATATCTGACTGTGTGATGCACAACCAAGACAAACACAACACTCAACACTGAGTCAACACCACAGCACAACCGAAGCCGCTGCACAACCGAGGCCGCATGATTCCTCCAGTGTTTCGAATCCAAGCGCCCACTGCGTGAGAATCAATCATGTCACACGACCAATGGGAAGGACACTTCGCCCGACCCGAATACCGTGCAATGACACTCTGGCCCATCACCGGGGACCCGGCTGCAATGACTGACTCGAGAGATATTCGGCCTGAGCGATCCACCCAAACAAGCATTGCACGGAATGCACTGCATGAACCGAACTCAGGCACAATGCGACAATTCAATGCGATGCAGCACTGTTTTTTGTTCGAAGACGGCTCCCATCCTCAGCACGTCTGGCGGTCTCCCGGGAATCGCAGAGTCCATATGGACCCTCTGTTGCACAGCTGCTGTTTGTAGTTTGTAGTTTGTTTGTAGCAGGGTGTGTTTGTCAGTGTTTGTGTGGCTAAGTTTTCTTAACCACGATTCCCGAGCTGCTCTTCCAGCTCTCGAATCCGCCGTTGCAGATCCCTGTTCTGACTCTGGAGAGCATCGACCTGATCTCGGAGCCGATTTCTTAGTCGCGAGCCTTCCACGCATTCGTCCTTATACCTAGTCCTACTCTCCAAAGCCTCGCCCAGCTGGCGCTTCAGGCGCTCATTCTCCCGCTCAGCGGCCGCACTCGATGCCCCGATGTGCGACGCGTGGTCCACGGAGAGCTGTCACGAGAAACCGAGAGAGCGAGTCCGAGTCCGCTTGTGTTCAATCAAACGACAGTTCCGGCCTTCAGGGACCGCTCCATGTTCTCTGCGGCCTCGTCGTGCTTTGCCTTGAGCTCCTCGAAGCAAGGTGGACCCCAACTCCAAGATGAGACGACTAAAGCTCAGCCGACCTGTATGGCCAGTGCATGGGATCTCTCCAGGTCCTCCATCACAGAAGAAGGCAGGAAGTTCCAAGTTCCAACGCCAATGCTAAGAAGCCGAACCTGTATGTGCAGCCTGTGCATGTCTGACGAGGCCTGCCCGATAAACAGGACCGCATCTAAGACGGCCACTGCCAAGTTCACTGCCAAATTGCCAAGAAGAATCCGAACCGAGCCTTCATCTGCATCTGATGCCTTTGCATCAGCTCCTGTCCAAAGAAATGCCGGAATGCATCTGAGACCGCCACTGACAAGAAGAATCCGAACCTCCATCTGCATCTGGTGCCCCTCCTCCAACTCCTGCCCAAATGAAGACCGGAATGCATCCGACAGCTGACACAGCCGCTGGCACGAAGAATCCGAACCTGCATCTGAATCTGGTACTCCTGGCCAGACAAACAAAACAAACACGGTCTGCCCAAGGAACCAAGAACAGGGCCGGGCATGAACAATCTGAAGAGCCGAACCTCGCTCAGCATGTCGTGAAACGCCGCTTCGCCCTGCGCATAAGCGCATGAAACAAAGCGGAGCCAATGCCACCAAGCCGAACCTCCATGGCCATGGCATGGTCGTCTCGAAGGTCCTGTCCCGGGGCCCGGGACTAGCAACCGAGAACAATCCCCTGAGTCCTGAGCATGCTGATGCTGGCGGTGCCTCCATCTCATCTGTGAGCAGCCGTTCGTTCTCCTGAAAATATATCTGAGTCTAGTTCCGCTTCCCGTCTGCAATGCCGCGAAGCTGCTCTCTGTCCCGACCTCCGCCTGGGACGTCACCCGGCCAAGCTCCGCCTGCACCGCCTCTACCGCCTCCTGCAGCACAAACAAACACACATCAACATGACAAACAGCTCTCCGCCGACATGTGGCCTCCAGCGCGCCACGGGCACCCTCTCGGTTGCTCCTTCTGAGCTGCCGAGCGGGCCCCGTCTTTGAACTCGGCCCCCTGATGCAATGCAAAGCACAGGCTCAACCAGTGAATGAAACGGCACAAAGCAGACTGCAATGCCCGGCCCGGCCTCCGACCATAATGGCGGCCTGTCCCCGGGGCTGGCTCATACCACTCCCGGGGCTCCTGGATTGCCACCGACCTGAAAGGCTGGTGCAATCCTCCTCCTCCTCCCCCCTCCCTTCCTTTCCCACCACCGGGATTCCTGCCACCTCCTCTTCTATCATATGCATGTCCACCGCCACCACCGCCAACACCTCCACCGCCTCCACCTTTCCCTTTGCCTTTCCCTCCCCGCGACGACGAGCTGCGGGCCATGGATGCAGGCTTTGGAGAACAGGAGCCTATGTCCTAGCAAAGTGATATCCAGGACTAGACGGGAGTGGCCAAAGGGCAGTCGGCCATTGGCCTGTGTAGTACTGTGTGTGTAGCAAGCTCCGTCAGTGTCTGTATACAGCTTTTTCGTGTTCAAGCTGAAATGTTTAGGATGCTGAGGTGTCAGGTTTTGGTTAGGTCCCGGATGCCGTAATTCTGCGTTGCCGGAAAGACCCGAATTTCCAAAAGCGGTCGCTTGATTTTATTCGGCTTGTCGCTGCTGGTGATTATAGTCATTATGGGAGGAAGCTCCAAGGGGGTTACTAATTTCTCGAAGCTAAACCCAGCAGTGGCCGTGTGCTCCTGCTCATGCGTGTCATGCATGTCATGTAGTCATGTCAATGTAGACTCTAGACAATGTTTGACAAGCATGGCCACAGCAGTCACGCAACCCAGCTGCAAGGCAACTCAGACCAAGATCTCACTGGGACACCCGAAGCACGCACCAGACTCAGCTTCTGACCCGGTGCTGACGATGAGAATGTATGCCGGGCTTCGAGCCTTTGAGGGTTTCAGGTTTAAAGTTTAAAGTTTAGAGTTTAGAGTCTAGAGGGTTTAGTTTAGAGGGCTGTGTGGTCTAGAGGGTTTAGGGGGTTTGGTGGGTTTAGGGTGGAGAGGTGAGGGTTGAGGGGTTTAGGACGTTTAGGAGGTTTAGGTTTCTTGGTGCGCAATGCCCAGGTTTGATATCTTCCAGCGCGACTCATGGCCTCAGGGCTTAGGAAATCTCAGCATGCCCATACCCCGAACTCCGAACGCTTCGCCCTTGTGAAAGATGTCGCAGACTCGTGTTTATGAACCTGCCATGAAAGCGGCTGCAACCTGAGGCCTGTGCTTGTGCCATCCGAGGAGTCCGAGTCCGAGGTGCCGCCCGATGCTTTCCCAGCTTTCCCCCCCCCCATATCTCTCAGCACTCACCCTCCACCCGCCCTTTCAGCACTTGCTCAGTGATGCAATTCTGCAAAAACCGCACTTGTGCAGTGCGTCAGGGGCAGCACTTTTTCAGTGCTGCACCCATTCTTGGGGTGCCCCAGCACTTGTTCAGTGCCCGCACTTTCAGCACTTGTTCAGTGCTGCAATAGGCGCACTTGTGCAGTGCATCAGTGGCAGCACTTTTTCAGTGCTGCACCCATTCTTGGGGTGCCCCAGCACTTGTTCAGTGCCCGCACTTTCAGCACTTGTTCAGTGCTGCAATAGGCGCACTTGTGCAGTGCATCAGTGGCAGCACTTTTTCAGTGATGCACCCATTCTTGGGGTGCCCCAGCACTTGTTCAGTGCCCGCACTTTCAGCACTTGTTCAGTGCTGCAATAGGCGCACTTGTGCAGTGCATCAGTCACAGCACTTTTTCAGTGCTGCACCCATTCTTGAGTGCCCCAGCAGCACTTGTTCAGTGCTGCACCTACTCGGCCACTTCTTCTTCGTCGGTGCCCCTCACCAGCCACTCAATGCACAACCACACCCGCAATTCGCAACCAGAGTGTTTCTAACACTTCGCAACCAACAGCAAGCAAGCACTGACTACCAACGACGCACGTCCCACTCAATGCACAACCACTGCACTCACAATACGCAGGTTTACATTTCACAACCAAGAACGCGCAACCACTACCCTCCCTTCGGGGGCCCCCCTGGTTATGCAGAAAAACGGCTTCAAAAAGGAGCATGTGCGCAAAATCGAAACGAAAAAAAACAAAACCCTCAAAGTAAGTTTTTCAATGTTGATTTCTGAAAGGAGTCGGTTTTTGCACAGTGGATTCTCTTACATAGTGCCGAAACAAGGCTCGCGACAATTAGTATGGGGAGCTGTGGTATCCATTGCACTAGAGCTGTGCAAAGTACGGCTGATAACCTGGAGTTAGCAGCAGAAAGCATTCTGGAACCTTTTTCCATTCTGGAACCATACAGTAGCATAGGTAACACTCAGCACATAGATACGAACAGAGTAAAACAAAGGTTCCGGGCTTCAGGTTGTTCAAACGCGCTATTGAGGAAGTCAAGATAGCAACAACAAGGACGCAACTATCCCCACCCGCCCCCCTCCACCCTCA